GCATGGACTAGTGCTATATTTAATGCAAGCGCCTTTGCAGGGACTATATATCTAACCCGTCAAGATGCTGATAAATTATACTTATCAACTGCAGCTGGTAAAAATTTAGGATTGATTGATGGAATTACTTCAGGAATTGTATTTCCATCAAAAGCAGTAATTGTTGATGCAAATAGTAATATTTCAGGATTTAATAATATTGGAACGACTAGTATTACAATTGGAGGTGTTTCCTTAACTTCCGTTGAATCAAGTTATTTAACTTCATTAACTATTGGTACAGCTTCAGCTTCAAAAGCATTAGTTCTAGATGCAAATCGAGATATTACAAACATTAGAAATTTAACAGCTACTCAACTAACAGGAACTTTACAAACTGCTGCTCAGCCTAATACCACACCCCACTCCTTGCGTGATATACGAGGCACATGAAGTATTACATCTGTCGGATCTTTAACTGGGTTATCAATGCTTGGTTCTATTTCAATGGTTATAATCTTTCACTAGTAAATGCATTTTCAGCATCAGGAATCCTAACATTAACAAATACTACAGATGCTACTAACAATTCAAATGGAGCTATTCAAATGACTGGAGGATTATCAATATCTAATACAACTGATGCAGCAAGCTCAATTAATGGAGGAAGCATTACCACAGCCGGAGGAGTCGCAATTGCAAAATCGTTATACGTCGGAAACAATATTTTCTGTACTCAACTAACCGGAACTTTACAAACAGCTGCTCAGCCAAATATTACATCAGTTGGGACATTAACTTCTTTGACTGTTTCTGGAACTTCTAATATAAATTCCATATCAATAACAGGAACAACAGCATCAACATCTTCCACTTCTGGTGCATTATTATTGGTTGGAGGTCTTTCTATTAATAATACAACTGATGCAAGTTCTATTTCAAATGGAGGAACTATTACTACATCTGGAGGAGTTGCTATTGCTAAATCATTATACGTAGGAAATGTAATAAATGTAGTCAATTCATCAACGGCTGTTATAAATATGAATTCTTCAGGATCTTCTACAGGTAGAGCAAATGTAGTATTTACAACTGATACAAATACTTATGAGTTGGGCGCAAGAAATTCAGCAAATGGCAATTATCCGACTAATTTTTATATTTACAATGGATCCTTTTTACTAACGATGACTCCAGCCGGCGCTATAACTCTTTATAACAATACCGATTCATCATCTTCTTCAACTGGATCTTTAATTCTTTCAGGGGGATTAGGAGTATCTAAAAAAATCTATTATAGTTCATACGTTAATCCTAATAGCCAATTTACAGGAAATAGCCATGGAAATACTTCAAATTGCATTTGTTTAAATGATCAGCCAATCTATTTTAGAAGTACAAATAATAATGACTCTAACCATGGACTCATGTATAGTGGTTATGACAATTCCAACTGGAATTCTAGTAATGGATTTGGAAATAACTCTTCATACCGAGTAGATGGGCCTATTTTATATGGGAATGCAGGAGTTAATATTGGGTCGTTAAATGCTTCCACTGAAACAATCATATGTAATTTTACTAAAGGTAGTTCAACATTATTGTCAGATAATTTTTATGTACCAAATACTTCATTTCTTGGTTCTTCTGTATTAAATGCTGGTAAGGTCAATATTGGAGCAACAGGAACTCAATTAGCATTAGTATATAATTCTTCGGTTTATGCAGCTATCGCATCTGGTCCCGCATTATTTCAATTATCTTTAACAAACACGAATGCTGTTCAATCTACCCAAACATATTCACTGTATTTAGATGTTCCTAGTCAAATTTCTGGATCAACGACTACTTACCCAAGAATGTCATTATCAACTACATTTGTTATTCCTTCTGGTAATGAACATAGATTAGATATGGGAGATGTAGCTGCTAATTTTATTCTACAAATATACAATCCTAATACTGGATCAGGTAGAAATGGATCTCCATCTAGTGGGTTTGGAGCAGCAAATAGTGCAATTACTTACACGAGCGCATTAGTTAATGGTCACTATTTTTATAGCAGTTATGGTCTTTCAGGAGTCGGGTCTCAAACTTCTCTAGGAACTTATTTAGGTAGGATATCAAAAGATGGTAACATTGAATCGGCAAATGGTTTAAAAGCTGTTGGATATAATCCTGTTTATTCGGGTTCGGGAGCAGAAATTCATTACGCTTCAAACGTAGCAAGCTTTTTTGGATATGATAGGACGAATTCACTGTATAAGACTACCCAACTTGGACAATCATTATTTATTAATGGTACAACTGGATATTGTTCGATAGGAGTCAATGATGGATCAAAAGCTCCATTATATGTATCTGGTACATCAGCATCATCATATTCTGGAAATTTTGGATACTTAAATAATGGGGGAGCGGGCGGAGCTGTTAATTTTACCAATCGGCAATTTTCAATACGAACTACTGGGGTATTATTCTGTGAATCTGGAGAAATTAATTGCGCTTCAGATATAAGATTTAAATAAAATTACTAATGAGCAAGCATTAAAATTTATTGAAAAAATAGATCCAATTGAGTTTAACTATCTTGGATCAAAACAAATAAATTATGGTTATTCAGCACAAGATCTAATGTTAAATAAATACGATGTTTTAGTCGGCTCTGTTGATTTTGATGAATATTTAGATGAGCAAACATTGATAAATGATGAAAATGAATCAATTACAATTCCAGAAAATACAAGATTAATCGTAAATATGTTGGCTGCTATTCCATTATTGCATAAGGCTCTCAAAATCTCTAACAGTAAAATTCAGAGCTTAGAACAGCAAATAAGTGAGTTAAAAAATAAATTAATCTAATATACAATGGGACTCTTAGGAAAAGGACTACGGAAAAAACTACTAATCAATAAATTAATTGAAAACTTTGAAGAAGACAAGCAAGCTGATGCTCGCAATGCTACCAATGAAAAGGAATTGAACAAAGCAGTAAAAAAAGTTATCGCTCATAATAAGAAACATATGATGAAGCCGATAAATACTCATGTTCTATTAAAATAATTATTGTAATATATCATGCGTTTTGGACGAAATCGAGCACCCCTTTTTGAACCTGAAGGACGTTTTTCTAAGTTAAATAATGATTCTGTACAAATTCAAGAACAAGAATCAGTTCCAATAATTGAGCACAAAGATGAAATGCCATCTAAAGGGAATATCGTTGAGAAAATACTTGAACAAAAAAGGTTCAGACAAGAGAAGTATTTGAATGTGTTAAGAAAGTTTATGGATGACTGCTGTGAGTATGATTTTTGTAATATGACTTCTAATCAAGAAATAAAGCAAGCTTACTACAAATATCTTAAAGATTTATATGAATATGACTCTACTTTTAATATTGACTATAGAATATCAGTACCTGATATCCCACTAATTGATGATCGATATATTTATAAAAGAATTAAGTTCTGCTCGAGCTGCAATCATAAGCAATACTCAGGCTGCTGTGATAATTATAAGAAGCAAAATTGCTCAGCTTTATTTTATGTAGTAAATTTGCGATTAAAGAAACCTAATCCTTCAGATTCATCAGTTCCTGATAGTCATTGATTTTCTTTAAGATAGCAGTTCGTTCAGTATTAAGCCATGAGAAGTAATTTTTTTCAAATATTTGCGAATTGTACTTGAAATTTGGATCTTGAATAGAGCCATGCAATGCCAATAGATGCTCTAATATAAAGTTGAGTTTTTTATACAAAAAGTAAAGCTTTAGACGATACGCATCCTCATTGATTTGACGATATGCGCTTAATACTTGAATAGGATCGTATTTAGTAGATAATGACATTTTCTATATTTTATGTAATATAGTATCTATTCAAGTCTATAAATTCCAATGCATACAAAGGCCATATTTATGGATATTCGGCCCTTTGCGCAAGTATTTGCGCAAACCCTGAAACATGATATTTATCGGGTTTTGACGGTACTTTTGGTGTTGAGGTCACGGACTCTGACACGATGGAGTCGAAGGCCCAGCGCGATGCTCACTCAGCATTGATCCAGCGTCGTGGGTCAACCACAGCGCACGAAAGACCAATGATACCAGGTACGCGACCCATGACATCGTGAAAGGCCCCTATCAATGAACCATTGCCAAGCAGTAGCGCAGTCACGCACGAAGGAAATGATGGCACGACAGACCTGGACGGCACAACTACGACCATGCACCAGGTACGCCACCCTCTGCACCACGATAGGTCACTCTCAAAGAACCATAGCTTACGACGTTCGAATGCTGCGTGCGAAGGCCCGAGAATGCTTGATTGCGTTGGAAAATCCATTTATGGTTGAGTACGAATTGTGCTTGCGAGGAGTTATTTCGCGTCCTTTCGAGTCGCGTTTGATGGATATGTATGCGAGGAACCTTTGGCACACAGCCTTGGTCACAGGGAGGGCCACCTTGCCGTCGATGAGTGATTCGGGGGAGTATTGTTCGAGCCAACGGGAAAACCGCGCTAGAATTGACCTGTACTGCTGGCGAGTAGACGGAACGATACGCAAGGCAATTATATCATCACCAGCTTGTTGCCCATCAGCGCAACTCGCTGCAATTGTTGGATCCATTGACGTTTGGTGCCGCTGTGAAGCGGTGTGAGCTCTCGAAACAACAATCCGGATAGTGTACTTGCGCAAGAACCATATATCTATCCGTTTCACCTTTTCTATACATTCTGCAAGTTCTCAAACGCGATGTCTCAGAAGATATATTGCTTTTGCGCAAGATATACTTGCGCAATCCTGATGATTATGCGGATTTTTCTTGCGCAAAAAACAACTATTT